GCCCTAACCCCATGCCGGGCCGCGTGAGTACTGAAAACAACGAAATATGCGTTTTTCGCACACGTGATTAATCAAGAATCCAAGGTTTTATGCAAAACCATAGAATATATACTCGAGACCTTCTAGAAAACACAAACATAATAATGGGAAAACTCCCAATTGTTTGTTTTTAATCATACAATTTATGATATTACAAAAACCGGTAACACATTTCTTCCTCACTTTAAAACACGTAAAAAAGTGAACACGATTATAACAAAAAAGTTTAAGAAAATTGTTTGTTGGTGACTGCTGATATAAATATGATGTTTTAAAAGTGAAAACGGTATCATCACTCTGGAATATGGTAAAGTTTATAACCAAAGTATATCAGCGTCAACAAACAATTTTCTTAAACTCTTTAAAACACATAGACGGTAATGATATTTATATTAACAATTCCTAACTATAGTTTTCTTACACGATTTAAAACAAACGCGGTTATATTAAAATTATTAACTACTTTTCTTAACACGCTTTAAAACACGTAATTATGAGAGAGTGCCGTAGCACTTTCTCTATTAAGATAGCACGGACGCCTGTATTAAAGCAATACAAAAGTTATGGGAATTTACTTCTCTACAGATCACCAGAAGCTAGATACGAAGAGCTGCCTGGCATAGTCGCTATATCTCCGGTGTATATGCTGCTTTTCAGCTATCCAGGGCGTCCCTAAATCGAAAACCGGCGAATAGCTAAAACCGAAATTTCTTATTTTCGTTCATCATCATCTTTCTTCAACAGGGTTGGCGCCTAGCTAGTTCTAGCAGGAACTATAATTTTATCATTATTTGATGGAGCAAAACGGTCTTCACGATTTTTGATTACCTATTTTGGTATTATTCTATGCAAAATTAAAAAAAAGAAGAAAGAAAAACATACTTCTAGTGTAAACGATGTTATTACACCTTGAAGTTAGCTTTCTTAGAGAAATCTGGTGTTCCTTTAAAAAGCTTAAGTACAGGGTGAAACAGGAATTACCAGCCTGTAATAGAAGAACATTAGGTGACTGTAGCGTGTAGAATACTCAATCCTTTGTACACTACACAATCGTTGTCTTTATGGAGCTAATCCCTATATTATTTATGAAGTGAGGGATTAAAAAAACATCTATACTCATACTGTTCATCAGAAGCTAAATATGAAGAACTACCTGATATAGTCGTTCTGTCTCCGGTGTATATACCGCTTTTCAGCTATCCAGAGCATCACAAACTCGAAATCCGGCCAATAAACAAAACCGAGATTTCTTATTTTCGTTCATCATCATCTTTCTTCAATAAGCCTAGCGCCTACCTAGTTCTAGCAGTAACTATAATATTGTGTCATTTGATAGAACAAAACAGTCTTCGTGATCTTTGACAACTTATTGTATTATTATTATATGGAAAAGTTATAAAGCTTTAGAGTACACTTTATAACCTAGTAACCCACATCATACGCCGTCTTATAAAGAAGTAAACAAGTATTAGGAAAAAAAAAAGAATATCGCTAAGTAAAAAAACTATGTAGAGCTGGCTACTGAAGTTGAGAAAAGGAACCAAACAAGATAAGGATAGAAGTGTACATATCACTTCAACTGGCTAATGATCACTTAGCATACTAAGCTGTCTCCGCTAAGGACTTTACATCAACTGGCTAATGATCATTTAGCATACCAAGCTGTCTCCGCTAAGGACTTTACATGGAGAATAAAGTCCCTACGTAGCTTTTTTATTTACCTCTAATTTTTTTCCTAATATTTGTATATTACATTATAAGCTTTAAAACAAGTTAAAAACGATAATTTACGCCAACCGTCATTGACTATACTTTTCTGAAACGCTTTAAATCATGTGAAGATCAATACTATACCTTTCTTACATCTGATATATAAAGTCTATACTTTAATTTAATTAACTGTCACTAACTTATTGTTTTCTATAAGAGCCCGAAACTATACCATAAAGCACAGACACAAATTAGTGAGTGACCTTGAGCTGTCACTCCTATCGAAGTCTGTTGAAACTGCTGTTTCAATCGTCCTTTATGTCAGGATTCTGTAACACACGTGCCAGTAAGAATATTTGGTGGCAAATAGCATATCCTTTTTTTTTTTTTCTTCTGTTATTATACTATCATGTGTAACGCAGTATTTGATGCCATTTGGCGCCGGATAAATATGTGTATGTTTTACCAACTGATAATCGAAAACAAATTTCGTTATATTTGTATGAATATGTTCCAGAGGAAATTGAAGCTGTATGACCGACTGAGTATTGTGTTTGAATCATAACAATGTTGTAAGCTTGAAAGAGATATAATATGCAAATACTGAACAATTAATGTCTTATTTTATTAACCTACATTTAACACTATGTTTTTATGTTTCAGAACACAAATAGTGAAGTCGTGTAAATATTAACGGTTAAGTGTGGTTTCAGATTCCAAGATGATACTTGTATACATTTATGCAAGATCTGTTATAATTAAAAATGCTGTCTTCCGGTAAACCTGATAGTAATGGTTGGTGAACTTCTGGTAGTGTTGAATAGATATCATTCAGAAAAGTATTGTTGACTTTCTTTCAGGTAATGTCTGACATATCCGGCAGCTTTCCTGCAGATAGTTTATCGTGGGTTGATTATGTTATCATTACTTAAGATCAGATCAATATAGTTCGTTAACTTAATCTCTGATCAATAGAGTTCGTTGTTTATATTCTGAATTAGCATACAGGAATGCCAGTTGGATTGATTTGGATATATTCTAACATTGGTACAATAGACTATTTTTAGGTAGCATCTGGTGAATATGATTATTTTAAAGTGAATTCTATATGATGCAAGTCCCCCAGTTGAATAGCGGTAAGTTTAAGGACTTACAACGATAAAATCCGGAATTCGATTTCCCGCGTTGGACAGAGCAGATAACCCAATTTGGCCTTGCTGTAAAACAAACAAACAATATGATATAACGGGTTATGAGTGGTAGATATGATACTTTTCAAGTAAAGCTAACCGGTATTATTGACGCATATTGTATATAATTTGTGAGGATTCGTGTTGTAGATGTTGCGATAATTAGATAGTACTTGGTAAATAAAGTGGGTTAGCTTTATGATAATACAAGTAAAAGTACCCGTCCCCAGTGAAAGAAAGTTTAAAATATTTCATGGACGTTAAAAAGGTTAATTGTGTTGCACTCTTGGTTTCACTGACAGCCAAAGCTCTAAGCTACTTATACCGTCCACCGCTAAAAGTAATTGTTGAACATTTCGGTCACGTTAAGAGCCGCTCCACTATAATATTCGATAAATCTACATTTTTATTCTTTAAGTTACGTCACATTTTGAAATGTAAATGATAGTGTGATTAATTCCTAACAGCTTAATGTACAATATCCTGCTTGCAAAACAAAATTTGGCATCAACATTATTCATGCCTGTTCTCCCGTCATTTTAAAAGTGAATGTTAAGCTTTGCCTATGTGCGCAGGTTTTCAAACGGGAGACAGATGAACGCTCGGACAGACTTTACTGTTCGTGATATAATGTATTGTCACGTGGCAATTCCTGGTAGATATAATGGCTCATCATCGATAATATTTACAAATACACCGACTATTATCGTGTAATATCTATTAGGCATGTTGTATTATATTTTGATGACATCTAATAGTTATGACGGGTTATCTTCCTGTAAGATTTGATAGGCTTAATGGGTTCTGATAATGTTTGGAAGATATCATGCCATATTTTCTGGTAACGTTTAAAAGTTTACTGTTTATTCAATTGTAATGTTAACGTTTTTTAAAGTTGGGTCTGGGTTTATTTTAAGGTGTGTAGTTGATTTTACCATTTTATTTGTAACTTTTGTAGAGTTACCAAGCCCTTGTTGACAAGGCAGGAGTACTGAGGTACAAGTATAAACCTATTGAGTACCTGGTAGATAAAGACCTCGACTTCGTCGACTACTCCAAGCTAAAGGATTATCAGGTGAGCTGACGTTGTTGAATAGTTGAAAAATACTGTTAATTATTGTATAAATATGTTAAAGAATAATTAATTCGACAAAATATCATAACATTATTCACATACCTAAATTAACATAGGTTACTTTATGAGGAAGGAAAATGGAATCAAAATTCCAGATATAGTATTGTTAATGGTTAATCTAATTGTTGAACATTTGATCAACGTTGTGTGTTGTTTAAAAGTTACGGCGTAAATGAGGAAAGGTGACATAGCGTTAGAAACTAATAGGCCTAGACTTTGTTATAAAAATCACGCTTTGGTGTCTTTATAAAACTGCGAATCGCCTTTGATAATCGTCAAATGTTCCTCGTGATAAAGTTGACTGTTATTAATAATTCAAAAAATTTTACACATTTAAGTAACAACAACACGCACACACGACACCTTTGACTTATCTACTGGTGCATATTCTGGTTCAAAGTATCTATATCAGAGCCCTAGAAACTGTATGAGTACTGAAACTGCTTGTAATTGGCCAGTTTTGTGAATTTTTTTTCCTTCTTTTAAACTAATGCCGTCGAAAATATCTAACAGCTTATGAAACAACACATTCAAATGTTAAAAGCAAGAACAGTAAATTTAATTTGCTATACATATTAACGATTGAGTTTTAGTTGTGATTTACCTAAGTAGCTTGCTTTAAACAGAAGCCAATAATAATTACTTTAAGACGTTTAAACAATTAGGAGGAAAAGAAATTTTAGTAGTAAAAAAAATAAAAATTTTGTAAATTGGAAGATTAAAGCGATTCCTTTAGGTAGTTAAAGTACATTATTGGTTTATAACGTAATAACCAAGTGTTATTGGTATATCAACATTCTGGTCTTTTGTTTGAAATTCCCATCATGATTTTATCATTTAAAAAATAAACCCAAAAATCATTTAAACACATTAGCCAACGAAAAAAACGTGCAGTTCAAAATGTCTGAAAGAATTAAGTGCTGATCTGTATCCGGGTGCGGAATACGGATCTGCTGAGCCCGGGTTCGAATCCATGCGATATCATAAAATATTTCCTGCACTTTAAGCTGGGGGTTTGTTATAAGAGTGACAGTTAATCACTTAGCTTAGATGGTGTGTGGTATGGTGTTGTTGAGTGGCTGCTTTGATCAGTTGTTCAAAATTAGAGACAGCCACAAATAGCCTTAGTAGCTTTGCCATAAATATAAAAATATAAATACAAAGAATTTTTCGTGGCCATGGAAAACTAAGAACATAGATTGGCTTGGAACCACAGTTAGTAAGCATGTATCCAACGTAATGAAAATAAAAACTAATTTGTATAAAGATTGCTGCTAGAGATACACAAACAGCGGAGAAGTTATTTGATACAATCCAAAGGAAACACACAAAAAATAGTGACAATTTGTGTATCTGGCTGTGCCTAACGATAAAACTTCTTCATGAGGCTCTGTTTGTTTAAGTAAATATAACTCACCAGTCTAATTCTCTAAAAATCCAGCTTTCTAGTTGACGTTAAGCAGACGCACGTTTTGATTAGCTGACCTAAATATGCAATAGACCACCTTTACAAATCTGTGTTGGATACTGTATAGGTTCAATTTATATGAATAACGTAGGTAAAAATTTTAATCGACGCATGCCTTCATTTCAGTTTTTCATGAATGCGTGTTGCAGCGCCGCTCTCGTGGATATTAAAACATCTTTTTTTATATATTTAGATACTTAATAGTAATAATAAAACAGTAGCCCTTTTATAAGTTACCCTTTAGCACGCGTCTTTTAACCAAAATTCATAGAACTCTTTGTAATAAACAGGTATTGCACGGGCTAATCTTATTAAAATAAAAATTTGATATCCAAAATGACGATCGATAAAACCTTATAGCCAGTAAAAAACTTGTTTTTGGCCGTCGTTATGAGCATGTGCGCGCGTATCTAAAACTTTTTTTCCTGGCACCTTTTAGGTTGTGGTGCTTGCTTAGATATTTCTCTCTAGTGCTTGTTTAGTTCCTTAAAGTGCTCTTCTAATTGTTTTTTGAAATAAGTGCTGCTGCTTTGGTTCTTATCGTTTTCATAAGAGTTTCTATCCGTGGTTTTTAGTTACAGTTAATTTTCTTCGATGTTCATGGTGCTGATAGGTTTTCAGTTTATTTTTAACGACTCATGCATGTCTAATTAAGTGATAGTGGTTGATTTCTATTAGATAAAATGTGAACTTACAAACAAACGTGATGTCAGCGCGGATGCCAAACGACCTTCACAGGGTCTTTGTATTTTCGTATTTTATCATGCTGTAGTTGCACTTTGTAATTCATGCTCCTTTCACATAGTGTTTTCTGATCATGAATTTGTGACACTTTTACTAATACAACGTAGTAATACTTCTTAACGAGAAGTTTGTCAACTTAGTATGTAGAATGTGTCTTTGTCTGGCTCATGAAATCTGTGCCTCTTTAGCTTTTCCATTGTAGGGCTCTTCCATATGGTGCATATTTGGTTTTCACCAGGTTGTGCTTATCTAGCTCCCATTAAGTGTTTTTTTTTCTCTTTGGTTCTCACCAAATGGTACTTAACTGATTCCTACTATGTGTTATTTTCGAGTCCTACTAGATTTTATTTTGTTTCTCACTAGTTGGTGTTTGTATAGTTTTCACTAGTTGATGCTGTTATGGTATTATCGTTAGACAAAAATAATGCGTATTACTATTGTTATTTAAGTTCAAACTTCATAATTTTGTGCTTTGTGAACATTTTTGACTTCTGTAAACATTCACTTTATTGAAGGAAGGTTTTGTTCTCTTTGGAACACTCAGTATCAAAGACTCACCTGTCTTGTTGTGGTTTTCTGATTCCCTTGATCCAATTTTTCCCAGTACACTTGATTTTTTTATTAGGCTGTATTTTTCTGGCTGTACAATTTATTTCGTTCGATGATATATGTGTGTATGTCTAATTTCTTTAAATTGTTGCCCGGCTTATTCTCTCTAGCTATTACTCGTGTTGAGTAGTGTCTATTTGTTTTCCATCCAAAATGTTTCCGTTAATGGTGTTGTCTCGTTCTTATTAGCTGTTGTTGTCCGACTTGTAATAGGCTTAGGGGCTGTTTAGATCATACTAGATGGTAATTGTTTAGTTTTTTCTAGGTGATATTCATCATATTCTTTCTAGATGTCGTTATCTTGACTTTCTTGCGTGATTTTATTATTTACTTTCGTAGATTGAGAAAGTGTGACGTTTTTTTTTTTAGTGAAAATGTTTTACATAGAATTCATTCTGGTGTTTAAGAAACATCTGACATACAATCACACATTTTAGAGATGAAAGCTCATTGAATTTTGGTTAATTAGGAAAAGTTGTAGCATAAGAAGAAGAAGCCTTAGCTTTTGCCCGGAAACTTGTGTTTGTGGACTGTTTCAGAAAAAAAGTCAATGTATAATGTTAATGTAATAATTATTAATGGTATCAAGATGGTTCAAATGCAGTGTGTTTGACATTAACAAAGTAGACATGATTCAAAAAATGTACAGTAATCTGTTACAAGAGAGAAATCGTTAGCTATATGGGGATGCTATTTTCTCTACAAAAGGTAGGCACATACATAACAATGGGCAGAGCTGGGCAGGTGGAAACACCTGGTGATAAGAGAAAACTGCTGTAAGGCTCTGCTTGGCAGAATTGGGTCATGCGCATGGTGACTAATATATCATGGAACCCCACCTTCCATTATTGTTGTAGAAGGTTGGGGTAACCTATGCATGAGTTAGTCCACCGGAGGGCGGATCTGATGGACGTTGTAAATGAATTGCTTTCGCGTGTAGAAAATATTTGACCTTGGTTGTGAATTGTCTACTTGATTTGTTTATTTTTTTTTTGCCAGTGCTATTGTGTTAAATTTTAAAATTACTCCAAAGCTTCATTCGATTGGAGGAATGGTTATTCTACTTTGATACTGTTTGGTTGATTTAAAACGTTTCATCGTAGCTTCAAACTTGGCGCCACAGCGACACTCGGCTTTGTATTTTAAGAATCTTTTCGATCCTATTTACCTGTCGCTCTGTGTAATGTTGCTAATACTCCTAAGTACTGAGAAAAAAAGTTTACGCTTAAAACTTTATTTTGATGCACGAAAATAATAGTGCGAAATGCTAGACGTCGATACTCTTTTACAGTAACGACGTTTTCTGCCAATTCAACTTGTGATAAAGAATCTAAAGTTGTTTTTAATGTATCTTTTAACCGGCTACTTCTGTTATCCGAGGTCTTTAACCAGAAGTTTGGAGCTTTTGCTTGACCTTGATACTCGTCTAGTAGTGACATTGAACTACGCACGTTTTTGCTGATCCAGCATGTGACAGATGGGGGGGGGGGGGGAGAGTCTATGAAGTTGAACTTTTATCTGCGCTCTTTTTATGCGTTCAAAGACGATTTCTTCCATATCAGCCAAGGTCTGTGACCAGACGTTTGACGATCAGTTACTTTCAGCCGTTCTAGTACCTCACTGCTATTACTGAATTTGCTTCTCCTGTCTGGATTAAGCGAGACATGGGGGTGAGAGGGGGTCATGAAATCCTTTATACATTTGCTTTGATCAAATTCTTTTGCAATGGAAGTGTGTATGAACGTCAAGTAGAATGAATATCTGTTATAGTAATGTGTTTGATGTCAAAATCAATTACGAAGATCTGGCTACGATTATCGAGTAAAATACAGACACATTAAACCTAACATGTTGGTTTCAGAATCAGTTATAGTAAAATACAGTTCTGGTATACTCAACTTATTGGTTGTAGAATCAGCTATAATATCGAGTAAAATACAGATCGGGTATGCTCGACTTATTGGTTGTAGAGTCAGCTATAATATCGAGTAAAATACAGATCGGGTATGCTCGACTTATTGGTTGTAGAGTCAGCTATAATATCGAGTAAATACAGTTCGGGTATGCTTGACGTAATGGTTGTAGAATCAGTTACTAAGGGTTGATTACGAACATGTTG